CCATATAATCTATGTGGGGAAGCGGATAACTGTCCTTCGGGCACGCCTTGTTCAAGTCGAAAAAATTGATACACAGTCTCCATAGCCCATTGCTATTTTTGACAAGAACAGGATTTGAGACCCACGTCGGGTATTTGGCTTCCTTGATGAACTTGTTGTCGATGAGTTTTTTGACTTCTTCTTCCAACGCCTTCTGACGATCCGGCCCCAGTTTTCTTCTCTTTTGCACAACAGGCCGGATGGTTCGATCGAGGTTCAACTTGTGGCTACGGGGTCGATACCCTTCATATCCTCGTGCTTCCAAGCGAAAACATCAGAATTTTGTTTGAGAAATGAGATAAGTTCTGACCGAAGAGGTTCTTGAAGATGACTTCCAATACGCAATGATTTGTGGAAGACTGGTTCATCGATATAGATCAATTCTACGTCTTCTCCAGGTTTGGCTCGATCACTTCGGCTTTTTTCTTTAAACAAGGCTCTAGGGTCCAACTCGTCCTCTTCAAGAAGTGGCTCCTTTCCAGGCCGACGACCTCGGTCTTCGGTCAAAGGATCCGAGGTGGAAGGATCACTGACGTGGTTGTTCGATTCTTCGGACGCCGTGTCGTTCGAGATGCTTTGTGATGGAGAGTTGTTTGTCGAGGTGGAATGGACGCCGCTAGATGGTATGAATGTAATAAGTTCTCGAGCTTCTCTCTGGTCTCCGAAGTGTGTCCCTTCTCCTCGTGTAGTCGGGAACTTCAGAGCATAGTGAAAAATCGAAACTACAGCTCGAAGTTTATACAATGCTGTTCTGCCGATGATGGCATTGTACTCATTATTAATATCCAGAATCTTGAAAGTTTCTATGACGAGCTTGGTGACATTCTCTGAAGTCCCGAATCTGACAGGTAAAGTGATCTCGCCGATAGGCTTCGAAATACTACCATTGAACCCTTGTATCTGATCATTGCAAGGTCGGATGTCGGCTGGATCAAGTCTCATTTTGTCAAAAGCTTTTAACATCAAAATGCTTGAATAGGGCCCAGTATCCACCATAACACGATGTACGGGGATTCCGCATATTGGGACGGTGATAA